TTGAGTCATCTTGCCCTCACTACATACACACTCACAATGCCATACCCACTCCCGCTCCTAGATCACCGACTGCACCAATAACGCCTCCTCGGCCGCCATCTGAAAACATGCCAGCAGGATTCATTAGATAATAAAATCTTTTTGGGGTCATTTGACCACCACAGCTACTCAGACACAGTTTGCGTTCAGGGTATTCATGTATTGGGAGGGACATAACCTATTGAAGGCAGAACAGATACTAGAACTATCTATGATGGTGACTAAATGTTCCCAGAGATCACTGAGGCAGGAATCAATTCAACATCACAGAATATTCAGGCATATTCTCATGGGTTTGTTACCCAGGTACTCCACTCTTCACATTGGTGTCTGCACCCTTTGCAATGAGCAGGCGGGCCAGGGACTTGTGCCCATGAGCCCATGCAGCCTGCAGTGCACTCCCATACTCCCCACCCTGCACATTGATGTCTGCACCATTCTCAATAAGCAGGCAGGCCAGAGACTCATGCCCACCAGCTGATACAGCCTGCAGCGCGCTCCCATATACCCCACCCTGCACATTAATATTCACACCCTTCTCAATGAGCAGCCGGGCCAGTGACTCATGCCCAGAAGCCGATGCAGCCTGCAGTGCACTCCCATACTCCCCACCCTGTGCATTGATGTCTGCACCCTTCTCAATGAGCAGGCTGGCCAGCGACTCATACCCGCCAGCAGATGCAGCCTGCAGTGGATTCCCATAGTACCCACACTGCACATTGATGTCTGCACCCTTCTCAATGAGCAGGCTGGCCAGTGACTTGTTCCCACAAGCTGATGCAGCCTGCAGCGCATTCCCATATGTCACATCCTGTGCATTGACATCTGCACCCTTCTCAATGAGCAGGCAGACCACTGACTCATGCCCATTAGCTGTTGCAGCCTGCAGTGCATTTCCATATTCCCCACTCTGTGCATTGACATCTGCACCATTCTCAATGAGTAGGCACACCATATCCAAGTAGCCATAATAGGATGAAGCAACCAGGCAGTCTCCCTTTTCCTTATTGGTAATAGGTCTAGCATGGGCTAAAATATATTTGGCTGTGTACTCCAAGTTGAACAATGCTGCTAGCCAGAGGTTCCCAGCGACCTGTGGCCAATTTGGATATTGCCAGGGTTGTTTTTCTGGTTCATAATGGATTTTAGACCCAACTGTATGCAATACGACCTTCCATTTGGTGGCCTGTCCACAAAACTCGACAATTAGCTGCTGCAGATGTTTTTCAGCATCTCCTGATGCATGAATGAGGCCATTCCAAAAAGCATAGAGAAGAAGTGAGTGTTTTTCAAGTAGTGCCTCCACATCATCCCGAGAATCTGGTAGCTTCTGGAAGGTTTCAAACAACAAATATGTGAGACATCGTGCAGTAATTTGTGTCTGGGCCTGGGGAAATTTTGTTCCTTGGATGCGGTTCAGGTAATCCTGTGTCATATAATGGATCAGACGAACAAGACCAGTGGCTATATCAATGATGAGTAAGCCAGCACAGACAGACACAATGAGGGCGATGTCAAGGATCCCATCAGAATCAAGTGATTTGGAGTCTAGTTCAATTGCAATTGCTTCCTGCAGCTCTGCAGTAGATAGTGGTCTCTTGGCATTGGCAACCCAGATGAGAGCCAAATATGCAATGTTTCTCTCATCTTCACACTGAGAGTCAATGCGTGCCATGGCTTCATTGTACGTGTGCTCTAAATCTTTTGGCAGATTTTTCAGAGCCTCCTGGACAGCTTTGATTGTGACTTTTGTAGTCAGGGAATCAGTGTGCAGTTTGGCAAGCAGGAACCTACATGACATTCAATTCCATGTCCAAATGTAAACAGCTGGAGAGACTCACATTCCATCCACATTGCCCATAATTTTTGTTTCAATTTCCTGGTGCAGCTCTGGCCTGGATTGAACATGCTTTGACAAGCGAGTAGAGGCCTGGATCTGTTCAATAATATATCGGCGGACATCTGCTTCTGTTGCACGTATCTCAAGTGCTTGCAGACTAGGGAAAAAGGTGTCAGGGGCGATATGAGGCCGGGAAGTCAACATCAAGTTGATATTGGGTCTAAGTGCCGCCAGATATTTCAGTAGTATGTGCTGCTGTTGCTCTAGGTACTCGTCCAGAGCATCAATCACGATGTAGGCCTTGGGGCATTCCTCCACTGCAGAGCATAGCACAGAATACACCTCATCAGCAGAGGGCCTGGTACTTTGTTCCTGATGCTTCAGGTATAGTTTCTGCACAGGAGAGTCTGCAGAGATGGGTTTCTGAAATATAATCTGCTTCCAGAGACCCGCAAGAATATTTGCAGGAGACTGTGCCTCAGTCTCCTTGTGGTTCAAGTATGCACAGGCAACTCCGAGATCGCCATCCGAGAATCTGGTTCTAAGATGATCCACAGCAATTGACCTACTCCTGGTTGAATAAACCTTGTCAGTAAGAGAATTAATGGACCCACAAAAGGACAGTCTTCCCAGCTCCAGCTGTCCTGAGCTCAATAAAAATATAATGGGAATGAGAAAACCACGCACGTATTCCGTGACCCCACAACACTCCTCCAGTGCTTGCAATCCAATCTTTGAATTGGGTCTCTTCAAATAGCCATGTCCCGGTTCCTTCCTGCTGGGCAATAAAAATATCTTTATGCCTCTGAAAGAAATTCAAGGGTGACAGCCAGTCAATAATTCTTTTGTGCTCAGCTCCTGTTTAGATCAGTACTCCATTTCATTAAATGTTCAATATACATACGATTAGCCAACTGTGCAATGTCATCAACAGAGTCCTGAATACCCGATGTAGTGTCAGCGAAAGTCTTGAGTAGCTCTTAGCCAAGTTACATGCAGGGTTAGTTTTCAGAAGGGGACTCTACAAATGACTCACGGTCATGGCTTTTTTGTTGCTGCTGGGCCACATCCCTAAAACCATAATGATAAGCACAACACCGGTGCAATGCCAGAGTACTGTAGCAAATATCCATCGTCAGCCCGAGGTTCAACAGGGCTTTGAAGTGCTCCATCTCGCCCAACACCTCATACACCTGTTTCTTATTCCACAATGTCCACGACAAGACTTTCGGACCTTTCATCCCGGGTTTATTCGCCGCGGTGAGTTTGTTGATCATCTGCTCCAGGATCAGCTTGAAGCGCTTAAGTGGCTCTATGAGCTGCTGGATGCCACCAGCCAACAGGTTGTCCCGCAGACGGTCTTGCAGCTGCGTGAGAAGCGGCTCGAGGCTTCCAACCTCGCGGGCAAGATCCTGTTGTTCTTTCGGGGCATTGCGCGCATCGAGACCGATGTTGATAGCTGCTTTCAGGACAGCGACGAATTGGAGGGCGGCAGCGACTAGACCGACGACTTCTGCCATGGAGGATGGGAGGGAAAGAGACAGGTGTGGCGAGCGCTTGAGGACATGCTCAGAAGTCGTGGAGATGACAGTCAGTTGACGGGTGGAATGCTCTGGAATGCTTCCAACCAAAAATATACTGGTGCGCTTGCCAACTGAGTTCCAGATGTCGATTCCTACCACGGGTTATCCTGCAGACGGTCCTGCAGCTGCGTGAGAAGCGGCTCCAGGCTTCCGACCTCGCGGGCAAGATCCTGTTGTTCTTTTGGGGCATTGCCCGCATCGAGACCGACGTTGATCGCTGCTTTCAGGAGATGACAACCAGTTGACGGGCGGAATGCTTCCAACCAAAAATATACCGGCGCATGCTTGACTGAATCGATTCCTACCACGGGCAAAAAAATATAAATTTACATGTTCCTTTCGTGGCATTGAAGAGTGATCTGTAGAAAAATTGCAAGATGTAGAGTTGTTGTGCCTTGGGCTGCGGGGTGCTCTGTTATTTCTTTGATCACGGCAGGACTACCCCAGTAAATTCCTGAGCCGGCTGCCGCATTATTTCCGCCATTGTTCAGGCAAGAATCGTTGATGGGCCCAAATGAGTATGGCCGCGTCGGCTCAAAGAAATGATGGCTGATCAAATTTCAAACTCCGTGCGGTCCGAGACGCTGCCAATGCCATAATCAAGCCATTTCCTCCTCTTCCTTCATCGATCATCGCTCGCAAGTTGGAACGCCCAGATGCAACCACCAAGATTCGCGCAGTGGCGGATTTGGTTGTAGTAAGTATCGGATATACAAGGTAAAAGCGAGGTAAATCTCCTCAAGCAGCGCAAACACGTCGACTCTCGACGTTTCTCCCCAATGCAACTTGAAGGAAGGCAGAGCGTCGACTCTCTTCCCGATAAAGGTTCACTAGCGTCGACCTCGTAGCGGACGGCCCGCTTCTACCCAGCCGCCAGAAACCACTCTGGGACCTCCTTGGACATTGACCTGCTCGTCATTATCGCGGTTCTAGCCATTCCGCCAACGTTCCTAGATACCGGTTCCGGGCTGCTTTACACACTCGATCCGAGCACCTCTGCTGCCCAACTTGTCGCCTTCCAGATCCTCTGCGGCATTGGGACCACAATGGGCTTGCAGAACTCGCTGCTTGCCATCCTGGGTGTATATATTCTCTGCGCTCTGCCTGGCTGCGAGTTGAGATCAAAGATACGCCGAGGCTCATCTCCCAACCCCCCAGCATGGCCATGTTCGCCCAGTTCTTCGGCGGCACCATCGGCTTCGGCGTCGCACTCCATCTTTGAAACGGAGCTCGGCAAGTGCCTCGGGGAACGGGCGGGAGTATACTGTAATTACGGGTACACTTAAGCATCGTTCAGGACATCGATGTGGGTACTCTAATACGGGTTTCATTAATAGCGGGGACAAGGTACTTAATCTATGGTGTAAGTACATACTGTGTTGTAATGGGATGGAATGGCGTTGGTGTTGGCTGTGCGTAGCGACTTAAAAATCCAGTGCTATTGAATTTCTTGGTAGAACAAAGTCAGAATGAAAATAAAATAAGAAAGGAGTCAACACAATAAAAAAATCCAAAAAAACGCACGGCCAAAAGTGATTTGACCTGTCCCGGGGTCAAACCGGGGCCTCCTGCATAAGATGATGCCCACAGTGTGTAGATTACGTGGGCGTGCTTCCGACTGCGCCAACAGGCCATTTTTGCATCTTTATTGAACCAGATTATAGGCTGTGCTTTACAGCTAATGTCAGTACCGAAGGCGCGGTGAAAAAAATCCCATTTTGGTCAAATTTTGATCGAATTCAAAGAATTGCGTGTAACTGGACAGGTTCTACATGTATTGACCTAGAAAGTGGATAGAATTGACGGGCTAATTCATAAGCAATTAGTGATAGAGCTAAAGTAGTGAAAATGTTATATTTTTGGGTGTCTTGAGAAAATCAGAGTTTCAGGTAAGAATATGGGCTGGCATGCCCAAATCACATCCAAATGAGCTGGATTTTCTGTAGAGGCCGTTTATAACTACTCCTGTAAATGTCATAGAGCCAGAACCGCGTATAAACTTTCCCTAAGCTTTGTAGCTCATTGAAACCAATTTCAGATTAAATGGGATAAAATGAGCTTATATACCTGTGCTCTGGGGTAAATCAGCTATTCTGACTGTATGACATTGACGGGGGTAGTCGCAAACAGCCCCTACCAAAAGTCCAGCTCATTTGGATGTGATTTGGCATGCTAGCCCATATTCTCACCTGAAACTCTGATTTTAGGAGTAGTTATAAACAGCCTCTACAAAAAATCCATCTTATTTGGATGTGATTTGGGCATGCCAGCCCATATTCTTACCTGAATCTCTGATTTTCTCAAGACACCCAAAAATATAACATTTTCACTACTTTAGCTCTATCACTAATTGCTTATGAATTAGCCCGTCAATTCTATCCACTTTTTAGGTCAATACATGTAGAACTCGTCCAGTTACAAGCAATTCTTTGAATTCGATCAAAATCTGACCAAAATGGGAATTTTTTGCCGCGCCTTCGGTACTGACGTTAGCTGTAAACAAAACAAAATAAAACGAAAAATAAAACGTGAGAGAAGGGCGAATGACCTTAGAACCGGGGCCTCCGATCAAAATCTGACCAAAATGGGAATTTTTTGCCGTGCCTTCGGTACTGACATTAGCTGTAAACAAAACAAAATGAAACAAAAAATGAAACGTGAGAGAAGGGCGAATGATCTTAGAACCGGGGCCTCCCACATAAGCAATCTATCCAATTGTTAGATGGCATGGGTGCGCTTCTATCTGCGGTAACGGGTCTTGGAGGGTGTTGCAAAGGGTGTTGGGTGCAAAGGCGTATTAATATCAATATTACATATATGGCGGAGAAATTTGAAAATCAAAAAAGAAATGTCAGCAAACAGCGGATGACCTGTCCCAGAGTCAAACTCGGGTTGCCCACATACCTAATCTAAAGAAATGGGAGTCATTGTGTGTGCGCAAACAACTGCGCCAACAGGTCTTTCTTACATGTTAGTTGAACTGGAATATAGGCCAGGCTTTAAACAAAATAAAACAACTGGACAAACTACAGAATGCACATGATTATTGAACTGGGGCCTCCTGTATACCCTCGGGCTGAGGTGGTATTTCGAGTGGGCGGGCTGCCATCTGCACCCACAGGTTTTTCTGGTGTCTTTATTGAACCTGAATACAGGCTGGGCTTTGAGTTCTAAATGAATTCAAATTTAAAATGAACTTATGATAAAAAGAAAATGGACCGAACGCTCCAGGATACCCATCCCAGAGTCCTCCCACCGACAAACTATCCAAGAACAGTCAGTTATTGTGGTTGCGGTGCCGGGTGCGCCAACAGGTCAATTTGTGGTGTTAACTGCGCTACGATATGGCCACGACGGGTAAAAAAGCAATGCCAGCAGGACCCCAATGAATGACCCATCCTAGAGTCAAACTGGGCCTATCACATAACTCGTTCAAGCGACGTCAAATTATGGTGAGTGCACTGGTATCCTAATTGAGCTACGGCATGGAACGGACGGCTTGAGTAAAATGAAACAACGAGTAACAAAAATGCATTGGAAGTCGGAGTTACCTCGATGTTTGGCTCAACGTTAAGTTATTGTGCGCAACCCACAGCGCCAACCGGTCTTTCTGTTTTCAATTGACCCAGAACATATACGGTGGCGGTTCTGATAACAAAAGGCCTTCAGAAAATGACTTAAATAAGCCGGGAAAAGGGTTAAGTCATTGTGGGAGCGCTGCCGAGTGCGCTAACCGGTCTTTCCCTCATATTAATTGAACCACAATATGTGAGGCTCTGAATTTAAAATACAACGACTCGGAAAAAAAACTCAAGCCAAGAGGGATGACCCCTCCTAGAATCGAACTAGGGCCTCCCACAGATTCCATAGAGCTCAATTAGCGGACGAGTGGGTGTGCTTCCAAGTGCACCAACAGGTGTTCAATGGAACTCAAACATGGAGCGGAGTAACATAAAGCGATGGGAATAAAAATGCGCAGTAAATGAAAACCTCGAACTGGGGCCGCCTACATAAAATGAACCAGCCCAGGACAAAAAATGGCCGAAGAAAGGGCAGAATGACCTCAAGTATCGGAGATTTGCAGCAGGCCCGTTCCCTACTGCGCCAACAGGCCTTCTCTGGATGTTTATTGAACCGGAAAATACAGGCGGCGTCGTCAGTGTTGCAATTTGTGCTCGGAGTGAATAGTAATTGGTGATAATGTGTTCGGAATAATAATTCGCGATATTGGCTGGCGGCAAAGCATGCTTAAAGTTGATGTTGGCTAGTTGTGCCGCTGCAGTCCGCGTTTTAATTAAGTCAGAATGAAAATGAAAGGAAAGGAGTTGACACAGAAAGAACAAAAAAAGACACAAAGAAAAGCACGAGAAAGGAACCACAACCTGTCCCGGGTTCCAACCGAGGCCTCCCGAGTACTCAATATAGTCCACATGACATTAGACGCTGCGCTAACAGGTCTTCTTTTTCCGGATTTTTAGTTAGAAGCCGTAATATGTGGCCATGGAAGACTTTGAGCAATATTAATCAAAAATTAAAAAGTCCGTTACCATTGATAACCTCGAACTGGGGCCTCCCACCGATGCTTTGAGCCAAATACAGCAGACGTGGGATGCGCTGCCGAGCGCGCCAACAGGTCTTTCCGTTTTGTTGAACTAGAATATATATATCTAACAGCGGGAGGCTTTGAATTGAAAATGTAATGAACCGACCTGAATAAAATGGGCACGCAAAATAGCAAAATGACCTCGACTGGGGCCACCCACCGACGCCTTGGACCAAATACAGCAGACGTGAGTGCGCTGCCTACTGCACCAACAGGTTCCTAATTAACCTGATTCATATGGTAGTGGACCTGGAGCCGGACGGCCTTGAGAAAAATGGCTTGAACGAGCCGGAAAAATTCGGCATGGCAACATTGCAAATGAGCTTATCCTAAGAGTCGGACTGGGGCCTCCCGCATACGCCGCCCGGACAATTGGAAATGTCTAGCGGGAGAGCTACCATCTGCGCCAACAAGTCCTTCTGTCATACTAATTGAACCGTGGTCCGTAATATATCCTAGCCAATTTCTCGGAGCTGCTTAGTAAGAGGAATCAGAACAAAAATGTGAAGAAGTGATGAACGGCCTCAAACTGGGGCCTAAGAATATTTAAAATGGCCCACCGGAGTAAAATGGACCACCCCGGGACAAAAAAACCCGCACGAACTGCAGAATGCCGCATCCCAGAGTCGAATTGGCGAGTTACCTACCAGATGCCCTACCAGGTGTACATTGAACTCAAATATATATAGGGGGTTGAACAAAATGAAACATTTTATACATATTAGAAATGAATAGGTGAGTCCTCCCGCACAGCGCGGTTACGCAGGCGGCACATTGCCAGGTGTGTCTTCCTGGCGGTAGAACGACAGTATACAATAAATTTGAATGATTGCTTGGTGGGGCCAACAAAACTATTTATAGGATTCAGGCAATTCATTCTGCTGCTGGAATTAAGGGCGGGGTTCCCAGAAGTGTTGATGGAACGAATGAGAGAGAGAAAAAGTTGACATCTGAGGACACAAATTGAAGAGGATTGAGCATGATTCAGGATTAGTGCGGTACAGTGCGTTCTTGTATGGCTACGATTACTTTGCTGCTCACGAATATCAAGGATGGTGTTTTTCTTTTCATGAATGTTGTTCATACTGGTTGGGAAAAGAAAGAAAAAAGTAAACCGAAAATGGATGTGGCCTGCCCCAGAGTCAATCTAGGGACTCCCGTTAGGACTCATTCAACAGTACAAGACATGCCTTCGCTTCGCTCCGGCACATGTGTTGCATACCTCTAAAAATAAGTAAATGTCATGTAAAATAATGGTTGAACCGAAATCGTGTACTTCTAGCTCCTGTTTTAGAAAGGTAGCTTGAAGTCCTTTGCAACTTCCAATAAGAGCGCGTCCTCAAGCCGAGGTCCGCGGTGCTACTATATATTTTTGCGCAGATATTTGCAATAAATGAGATACAGGTTATTTGCTGCTATGGCATTGGTCTACGGACAGCCTATTACCGGTTGACACTATTCTAGCTCTCCTTTCATTTTCACCTGCAATAAATCAGACACCATTCAGGTATAGTGTAGTAAACTTACCTGAAGATGTGGCCTGGGTGATTCATGGACTCAAATGGTTAGGTCAGCGTTTACGTGGAAGCCAAAAAATGAGTACATCCCAGCACTGCAGATACTTTCAAGTTGGTGTCACTGCAGAAAGTCTTGATAGAAACTCTGAAAGGGATATTAGCGGAGCGTACCTGCATACAATGTAGGAAGAGCATAGGAAAACATGTTCCTGCCGTCTTTTGAAACGGTACAAAGGTAATGAAAGTAATTGGTCTGCCTGCGGCACGTCGAGTAATGGGGACTTCGCTTCGCTCCGGCGGCGTAGGCAGATGGTATTTTGTGGTGCACAGACATCCATTGTAACTACTGGTGTACAAACCATCCCTCGTGTAGCGGTTGTGGCATGTCACGTACGCTTTTTGAAACTCGTCATCCTACTGAAAAAATATTAGCAAAGGACGTGCACATCATGGGGAGGGGTCATACCGGGCGGTCCACCGCCAGCAGAAGGTCCAGGTATCATATTTAGACTCGGATACCGGGATGTGCCTAAGTAGTGTAAGTATTTGGAAGAGTAAAGATAAGAGCACGTGCCGGCGGCTGTGGCATGTCACATACGATTTTGTTGAAACTCGTTATCCTACTGAAATAATATTAGCAAAAGACATGCACAGCATGGGGAAGAGACGTACCGGGCGGTCGACCGCCAGCAGAAGGTCCAGATATCATGTTTGACTCGGATGCCGGCTGGGTGCGGTGTGTTGCGATGTACCTAAGCAGTGTAAGTAATTGGAAGAGTAAAGATGAGAGTACGCGCCGGCGCAGCTGTGGGACCGTGAATAAAAACATTTAGGTGGAACAGTGGGGATGGCACGGTTGAGGACGGGGACTTATATTGCGTGAGGAATGACATATAGGTCCTGGATAAGGCACGTACCGAGTTTCGAATCACCGAACGGAAAAATCTGGGAGTGGAAAAGTCGCAAATGCAGGTTGGGGTCTTGCAGTGTCCCGATCTTGATTTCTCCGAAGCCCTAGAAGCCCCCAGACGTATTAATATTCCAGGTGTTTATTGCCGTGACTAGTAAAGGGGCGGCTTGCGGCCGAGTTGCGGCCGGGCATTGCGCAGTGGTGGTCTTCACGCTCACGGTATCTGGACCGCAGATGGCTTGAATCTTGAAAGCACAGGTGTTAACCATCAGATTGAGGAAGAGCGGCCGCCTGGTGCAACGATAATGGAGGAAGAAGGGCCATAGCAAGCTTCTAACAGAATTGCGGTAAAGCTTCGATTGAGCATTGCGTAGCTCTCCAAGTCGGTCTTGATCCTAGCTAAGTTTTGCAGCATTGCGGAGGGCTTGACTGTTTGAGGACAGCCGTTCAGCACCGCGTTGAGGGATCAGGACCATGCAATGTCTTCAAGACGTCTTGATGCTTTTCGCATCTTGTGGAGGGTTCGATTCAATGAAGGACGGTCGTTAAGCACCGGTGGATTTCGAGGTGATGGAGGGAAGAAGTAAAACGCACCAACGTCAGACAGCCTGCTTTTTGAACGGGCCTTGAGCACTTGATAATGGGCCGTGTGACCACTCTAAATGAAGCTTGGTCGGAGTACATATGCCAAAGCTAAATGGTGATCAGGCTCCACAATTGGCACTATGTTAGAATACCGGTGGGAATGAGACATGCCCATTTGAGAGAGCTTGGGCCTTGAGCGAACCTTGGTGCGAACAAGATCCCAGATAAAGTAAGAACAAACATGCACATAGGGATCTGCTTAAGATACGAGTAATACGTGGCCGCAGTTGGTCCACAGGTGCAGCGTCTTTGGCGCAGCAAGCCTGCAGGGGCTTGATTTTTATACATCATGTGGAATCTCCTAATGGGAAAGACTTTGCACTGCGGCAAAGTAGCCCTTGGTAGCCCTGCATCATGAGGCTTGGTCCGGTGCTGTTCTAGGTGCAGGAAGGTGGAATAAATGGAGTTATGGGTTATAGATGGGGCATAGCTGTAGGTCTACTGCGAACTCATGGGAGTTGATGATGTCGCAAACGAAGGACCAGGGAGGAGGAGTCGGAATGGGGCTACACAAATGGGGATGTTGCCCAAACATGTACAATCTGATTCGATGGATTTCGTTAAGAGAACGGATAATGATATGTCAACGGGCGCAGCACCAATTGTGCCAACAGGTCGGTGTTATCAACGGGAAACCGAAGAAGGTACCTGCAAACGATAGTTATAGTTGAACGGCGTCGGCCCAAAGCGATGATGGCTGATCGAATTTCAAACTCCGCGCGGTCCGAGACACCGTCACCATCCCTTTTTGTCCTCTTCGCTCACCACTCGAAACAGATGCAACCACCCATGGCAGTCAAGTTCGGATTTGGCTGAGACTAGTGTCGATGTGCAACATATAGCGCACACCTTGGCGATTTGGGTGGCTGGGACGGCCCTGCGATCTACTGGTGTCGTGGTCGCTGTCATCAGCACCGGCCAGAATGGGGGGGGGGGATATATTATACTCGTGTGGTCCACAACATGAACAACGAGTTTACGGAATACAAACATGTAGAGCTATTGGGGTGGTTATCCTTCTAGAACTCTACAAGATGCAAACCGAGCACAACACCATTCCAGGGGGTCGATCAATACAAGCCGCTGACCCAACTGTGACTGGCGCGCCATTCAGCGGGACCTCTGGTTGTAACCTCGTGGGACCTGACCACAAGCCAAAGGTGCAAGTGTACGGGAGGAGGGTCCCTCCTCCCAGGAAAAATTCCCTGGTATCCACCAGTCAACAGAAAGCTGTCGTATGTCTT